CGTGTAAACAATATAAGCCGTCGATCATGTTGACAAAAGAACTCATTAAAGTTTGATGATCATGACTAACGTGTCTTCACTGGGAAGTTATCCTCATAGCTTTAGCTTAAGCCAATCCATGAAATTAACTTAAGAGAATACCTAATCCTACGCATGATTGTGGGGTCCATGCAGCATATCATGATTAAGCAAAATAAATAAAATAACCAGCATATTTTCTTTTCCTTTTTTTTTCTGTTTGTTTCCCGGGAAAATCACAGCGTACCTGGTAAGCTTTCAAGAGGGGGAGATCGACGAGGGCAGGATTGTTGGACTGGATACCGGAAATGGAATCGAGAAGGCCGAGGCTCTGAAACGACTGCCGAACAGTGACAGCTGCCAGCGTTTCATTCGTGGCCAGGAGAAGCGGCCACGTCAGCCTGACGCAGTTGAATCCCAGCGACGCGATTCGCTTGGCGATTGCATCCACCGGCTGCTTGCTGAGGCCTTCGGCGACGACGGCGTCGAGATGCGACGCCCAGTTCACGCACGCCAGCTTCACGCGCTGCCCGCTCTCGTCGACGATCCATCGGGAGGAGGTGGAGAGTGGGAGAGCCGAGGCTGCAGGCGCGAGTGTGAGAAGGGAAACGATCGAGAGGAAGGAGAAGAGTGAGATGACTGGCTTTGCCATGGTTGGAACTCGGAAGGAGGATTGTTGAAAATATATGGGAACTCAATCTTCAATTTATATACTATGATTCAAAGGCCCACCGCACTCATGTAGTACAAATTTAAGAAAGATAATCAATTATTACAAAGGCTTTATATATTTTATCAGGACTTATAAGGTAAAGAATTCTCATTTTATTCAAAAATAGTGATTAGTTGGTGACTTTTTCCACATCAAATTTCAACAATTCAAACTATTTATTTTGTAAGTTTTTATTTATAGATCTTTTTTTTCTTTTTTGTAAAAATTCAATTCAATCTTAACTATTTGTCTATATAATTATCACTATAAAATTTCATTGTTTATTATAAAACAAAGTGTTCTCCAGTTTCTTTAAACTCAATTTGATGTCTCAAATATTTTCAATTTAGCTAATATTTTAAAAGAACGATATGTGAGGTGCAACTTGAAAGATAAACGGTTTGGATCGTTAAATTTCGATGTGATATGTGCCCTACAACCACAACTAATACCTTTTTTTTTTTTTTAAAAGAAAAAAAAAAATTTCGTCCCTTAAACCATCTTCAACCATTGGGTTAAAAAAATTTAATCCAAAAACATTTTTCTTCTCCAACCCTTTTGGGTTAAATTTTTAACTCGAGATTATTAAAGAATAAATTTAGGCTATTTTTTAAAAGTAACTTATTCAAAAAATAAAAAAAGAAGCTATGTAGACTATCTTAATTTACCTTATGAACATTTTAACTTAAAAAAATTTAGATTTCAATCAATATTGAAAAATCACTAAACTGAGACCATGAAACTCATGGAACATTATGAAACAAATTTTTTAATTGTTTTAGCTGTTGGATTTAATTTTGGGCCATTAGATCTTTTTTTACCATTAAATTTGATCATACTAGATCTCAGCCATTGAATTCAATGAATTCATAAATATAAAACTAAAAATTATATAAATTTGAATATGAAACGTTGGATAACCAAATGTCCATTTGAATATGTGTCGTCCAATTGAACCCAAGAGTCGTTGGGCTCATTATTGTGGTCGACAAGCCCACAAGGGTGGGCTCTTGCCCTTGCAGTGTGGTGTTGGGGCACGTGAAGTTCCGCGTCTGGCTTTCAGATGGCCGCTTCCATTCACATGTGGTGGGCCAACTCACTAATTTAGTGTGGTATCCTGGCCGAAATTTGGCCCAAAAATAAGTTTTTGGTTAAAACTCATATTTAGCCCCAAGGTTAGAGCAAGTTCGAGTGAGTTTAAAATCTAAAAGTTGAGTTTTACTCCAAGAGTTGAGATAGGTCAAAAAGGCCTCTTGTATTTTATTATGCCAAGTATAATTGAAAAAAAATTGTGGTTAATAAGTTAATATATAAAATTTATTCATGTTATATTTGAAGAAAAAATTGTGATTAATAAGTTAATAATATAAAATTTATTCATGTTATATATATGTTATTTGCCATAAAGAGATAACGTTTGATGCGTTATCGGTTCCGTTGATGTTGGAATTGGAAACACGGCAAGTCATAGGAAGTTTTCACGTACGAGCAAGTATTAACGAAGCAAAAGCAACGCCAAGAATATGTAACAAGACCAACAAACCCTTTACCTTATGGAATGACGAGTATCAAATGGTGCTTGGACTTTTTGGTCTTTGACACACTTGCAAGGCATGCCACACATAATGCTTAAATATTCCTTTCCTTTCAAGATATCAAATTTTCGACTGAATTTTCTTGGAATTTCTTGTTCATAACTATTTTAGCACTGGCAGAGCCACATTAAGGGCTACCTTAGACTATAGCCTAGGTAGCTTTCGGTAGAAAATAAAATGTAGCCCACTATATATTTAGTCATTGGACCGAATTCTCTCGGTTTAATTATATAATACAATTTACAAACTATCTCTTTTTATCATCGCTTCATGTACATGTACAAGTTTGAATTTGTTTGAATAACGAAAATTCTTGGCTCACCTTGTGAAAATTTTCTTAAGCTAGCTAATACTGTGAAAAATACAATATCACGTTTCTTTTTTTATAAAGATTTCATCTTTAAGCTAGCCCACCCGATGAAAATTTTATAACTCTGTCATTGTATTTTAGTTCACGTGCAAAGATATGGACATTATTTTGGCCAACTAAACGCTCAAATCACATTTACCATTCACTACTACATTCGCCAACTTTAAATACAAAGGAATTCTACGTGCATGAGTAGGGTCTATCTCTATTATAGAAATAAGTATTCAAAGAGGATACGACATCAAACACAAAGGATAGGAATCACAGGTGAAAGGGTTTGACATGATATAACGAGTGAGAGACATTCAGACAAACCATGTGGTCTTGGTGTTTACACTATAGTTTTTTATCCTATTTGGGAGTGATATTAGAAGCGGATGCACATTGGGACCTAGTTGGTCCCATGACCACTCGAAGTTTTATGAAATGTACATGTGAAGGTCTTTTGAAGACCCTCTGAGCGTTTTGTATAGGTCCCTTTGCACCTACAACGTGTTTGATGTAATACCTAATAGGCATATTTCAACAAGTTGTGTGGACAAAACTCGACAAATTCTCTCGAAATCACTCATCAAGGGTTTGACATGATATATATATATATATATATATATTTGCATTCAGCTTCTATCTAAAAAACTTGAACATTTAAAACTAGGACCACCCAAGATTCGAATTCTAGATCCGCCATTGAATGGTATGCAATGCAATAAGTGAAATGTGGTACAAATGCATTATTGTTTCTTTAGCCATACTTACTTGCTTGGAATGTGAGAAGTAACGAGAGATAAGGATACAAAAATGTTACTTAGTTGTTCATATATGAGAAAAACAACCTGTATTTGCTACACGATGTGGGATGTTAGGTGTTCGCATAGACAGACAATAGTCAAGCCCACAAATATCGTCCGGATCAGACCCCATAACACTAAATGTAACTACACCAACGGCCCAGTTATAGGCCCACAGAGCAGGGGTGCATTGCAGAAGCATTAAAATCTACGGGAGAAATTGATATTTTCGTGTAAGTCAAGGGGTCAAAATTATGTCGCATAAGTCAAGCGCAGACCTGTAAACGGGTCGGATTTATTAAGTTTGGGTCGAGTTGGGTCATCCGAACCTAATTCGTTAAGCTTAAAAAGTCACCCGTTAACAATTTTTTTTGTTTTTTTTTGTTTTTTTTTTTTTTAACATTTTGCATTCCAACACAAATTACATATCTTTTACCCAAAACTACAAACACTATATATATACGGGGATTGAAGTACATACACTGTGCAAATATTTTGCACCGCGACCTGAAACCGAGTAACTTGCTTCTCAATGCAAATTGTGACCTTAAGATTTGTGGGAAGATCTTTAACAGCAAAAGCACAATTGATTGTGTGATGGGATGGAGAAGTGGGAAGATCTCTCTCTATCTAACTTGCGAAGGAAGAGAACGAAAGTACAATCACACACAAAAAGCACCATTTGGCAACAAAAGCACAATCACAATCGAAATCATCAAACACAAATCAACTAATTCCAAATTAATTCAAAGCTCATCTGAAGAGTACCACCTCAAACCAAGCTCAAGCAAAAACTGAGAAAATTAGACAAAAAATATAATCTGCAAAAACGAAAAGTAATTGCCATGGAAGAAGAGGTGAAAGGGAATCGGAACTTACCGGAGAGAGGGTGGCAGAACTTAGTGAATGGCAGCCAACTTTGAGGAAGAAGATGAGGGAGAGAATGGCAGCCACTTAGTCCGGGTTCTAACATGAGAGAACAGAGAGAGAGCTAGGTTTTCTATTCCAACTATGAAATTACACAAAAGTCCTTAATGGGTGTTAACGGGTTTCGCGGGTTGACCCAAAGTGACCCGTTAACAACTCAACCCGTTAAGCACTCACCCAAATACTAGTTTTAACGGGTCGGGTTCAAAATGCCAGCCCTAGTCAAGGGATCAAGATTATGTGCTTTTAAAATTGGGAACTTTGACGAAAAATTTCCAGTACTATTTATTTTAATGAAAAATCATATTTTTACATTCAAAAGTCAATCCTGATACTATTCATTTTACTTTTTATCTTGGCCTTATAGTTAAAACTTAAAGTTTTCAAGTATTTTTCATTAGTTTTTCTTTTAAAATAACTAAAAACGTTTTTAAAGAAAATATTTTTACGTTTCAAAAATACTTAAAAATATTTTCTGTAAGAATTACCTATTATATGCTCATTCCATAAAGCACTTTAATTACTCCTCGAAATCGTTAGTAAATATTATTCTAAAAACATTTTAAAAGCAGATAATTGGTTGGTCGTCCATTATCTCACCAACGGTCCGATTCCTAACCCAAACGCCACCGTCTTGAAGTGTGCGAGAGACGAAGGCGAAGTGGCCGACTCTGTAAATCCCAAATCCGAAAGTTCAATTCGGGGGTTCTAACCCCTTCCCCGAAATCTCAGACCCACCGGTTCCGATTTCTCCAATAGGCGGTTCAGTTCAAATTTCCACATATATCGCCGATTAGGGTTTTTCGCCGTCGAAGCTCTAAATTGGAGTATTAGACGATGTAAGTTCTGTTCATTTCTTTTAATCTTTTGAATATATGTTTTGATTTTTTTTATTTTTTTACGAATTTTTGTGGGTATATATGAATTTAGGGGAGCTTTGAAGCTGGAGCTTCGTTGTCCCCAGACAGTCGATGGAATTTCAGTTGATCCTATGCCTGATTGGAGCTTCGAATCTCTTCTGTCGGAGCTAGACGCATTGGAACAAAAGATCAGTAGCTCTTCCAAGGTTTCGGGGTCATTTACAAAGGAAAAACCGCGGTGAGTGCGTATTTAATTTGAGTGTTTTTGGGATTCGTCCGCCGCGAATGGCGGTGTTATTCGCTGGTCTGAGTTTTTTCTTGGGGTCTGCGCCTTTGTTTAGAGATTTCTCGAACTCGAAGAGTAATGGGAGAACTTCTGCTAGCCCGTTTGTTATGCGCGTCCTCGAGGATGAGATGGACAGCACTGACGATGATGAAGATGAGGAGGATAATGATCGAAATTTCGTTGGTGCCAATCGGTTTAATTTCGATGACCTCTATCTCAGGTGTGCAATTAAATTACCCATTTGTATTCTTTCATACAATGCCAATATTTGATTGTTTCGCTTCTCTATTGTGAACTTGACCAGGCTAAGCATGACATAACCATTGAAGATCTCCTGTTATTTTCCGTCTTTGTGGATTTCTATTGAAGCTTTTGACTCAAATGTCGTATAGTGATATTACATTCTCATCTCCCATATTAAACAATAGGCTGATATGTGGTTTTGCTTTATCTTCCAGTGATAGCGATGACTCTAGTGACGAGTCATCTCTTGAAGCCCAACCTTACCTGATGGAGAAGGTTGAACCGGGGGAAAGTAGTTTGTTCGAGCTATCCCGTGAACATCAGTTCAGAGTGAAGGTCTGTAGCTACGTAACTGGTGATGTCTCTGTTGTTTCACTTATGTTTGATTTATTCTAGTTTTTGAAAATTATTGTCTACTCAGTAGATTGAGATATGTGGCACTCGAGTATAATTGACACATTTGTGCGTCCATTGTGATTTAAAAATGGTTGTTGCCCCTCATTTCTAAACCCACCTTCCCCTTGTCTCCAAACAGTTTTGATTAATAAAAGTTATGGAAGAAGTTATAATGTGATTTAAGTTTTGTGTTACAGCTGACAATTGTAATTCATTAATTTACAGGAAGTTATTAGAAACCAAATATCAGCACTAGAGGCAGATCTGAAAACAGAAAAGGAAAAGTCTATTTCTGCACTTGTTCGGGTTCAAAAGTACAGAGAAGACAGATGGGAAATGGAAAGAAATCTTGATACTCAAAATCAACGCCAGATGTAAGCTTGCACATTTCATTTTTTTAAGCGCATCTTAATATGGTACTCCAAAATTTCTGTTCATGGACTATCTATTCTTCTAGTCTTGGTTGAGATATATGTGTGTGTGTGTGTGTGTGTGTGTATTGTTATTAAAAGTGTTATTCATTTCTTTTTGGTATTAGCCACAATATATCATTTTTAACAGTTTACTATGATCATCTGTAGAGCAGAAGCACTTGATAATCACCTGAATGCTATCCAGCGGGACCTTGAAATCAAATCTCAAATAGAAGAAAGAAAAATAAGAAATGATGCAGCTTATGAAGAAGCTAAAAGAAAGGAAAAGGCTCGCCAAGAAGAAAAACTTAGACAAGAACGAGCTAGAGCTGAAGCTGAGGTTTTTTTTTATTTCGCCTTTTTTATATCCTTATGGTTTTGTTGGTTAATTTGCGTAAACAATGGCCCCATTATGTTACTGCATTACATAACCATTTCTATTTTTGATGCGTTGAGACTATGTCACTCATTTTAGGTTTTCATTTCATGTAAGAACCGTTTCAGTGAACTTTAGGGAACTTGGTTAAAAGCTAGAGTTCCACGCTAACTGGCTCACCATGCTTTTTGTATAAGAACATTATCTTGCATGTACAACCATTAACTGAGCGAAGCTATCTTAGTTAATCTTGATTCGCTAATACCACTCATCTGCAATGTTATTTTTTTTTTCTTTGCCTCTATTCATTCTTTAATTTCTCTAGGCAGCACTCTGTAGGTAGATTTATACTAAGTTCATAATAAGAGAATGTTCTCAATACAGGCAAAAAGAGTGGAGCAAGCAAAAAGAGACGAGGATGCTAAAAGAGCTGCTTTGGAAGCTCAGAGCAGAGCAGCTAAAGAAGCTGCAGAAAGAGAAGCTTCTGAAATCTCGAAGAAGGCTGATTCTGGAGCGGCACAAGAAGAAACTAACAGGCTTCAAATAAATGCCAATTTGGGACCTTTAACTGCTCAGTCCAATGGAAAACTATCAGCAGCAGGTATTATGATGTAGATTGATTGGAAAGAAAAAACTTTTTGGCACCCATGTTTTGTCTATTGCCCTTTCAATTGGTTCCTTCAAGAATCTTCCTTCATATGATGCATTAACTGGGCTACGTCATGGCAGGTAAGATAAAGGCAGCAGAAAGTGCTCTAAAGTTAGAGCAGCGAAGACTACAAATGCTTATACAGTTAGAAGAAGAAAACCAGGCATTGACATTACGTTCCAACCAGGTCTGCTGGCACACATTGAGCTTTGAAGTCTTTATTCTATTTTTTATTTTTTTTGTGAACCAATTATTTTTGCTTCTGTATTTGCTATTTGTCTACCGCTTACTGACATCGAATAGAATTTATAAAATTATAGTAGGTTTTGTTTGAACCTTGACTTGTGGAGATCAATGTTAATGTATATTTGAACTTTATTTTTTATACGTTCCTTTGTGTCCATCATGTTAGTTTGTCATGTCATGTCTTTTCTTTTTGTTAGGATTTTGCAAAGATTGAGAGGCAAATTTCTAAGTTGATACGCCAAATTACAGGAACAAAAGATAGTGTCAGGTAAGGTGGATGCAGGATGCCTTCAATTATATAACGTGGCTTGTTGACATTTGTTTGATCTTATATTTATTCTGCTGTACTGTATTGAGCATTGCTGCACATGAGGTAGCTACTTTCACTGGTAGAGGACTTGGAATGTGCATTATGCTTGTGAAATTTCTCCATAAGGCTCATTAAAAGCTGTTCTGGCTTGATGTTTGCTACCAAGTTGGGATATTTATAGGCAAATTAACCATTCTTCATATGTTTTCTCTTCTCCCATATTGACAACCGAGCCTATGCGGGAACAGCTGCTAAACCCTAGTCTTGCACATGTACTATCTAGAGAAATATCTTCATCCAGTTCACATGCTATTGTAACTTTCCCATTTATCTTCTTTTCTTTCAAAAAATAACTATAACTGAAGTAGTGTTGTTATAAAACTGAGAATTTTTATATGTCGAGGTACTTAATTGATTATTGTTGAAATTCTTGCTCGTAATGCAATGAGATTTTTTACATTCTAAGACGTACCTTTTTCAGACAAAAAGCAGATGAACTATTCAATATCTTTAATGATGCACGTTGCCCCCAATCTATCAGCATCGCAGCGTTTGCAAAGAAGGTAATATCACTTTTTTGAGTTCAGTGACAAAATGTAGAGTTTACCATCTAGAATATCAGAATTCTCTATCTGATGGAAAACTTCAGAATTTCATTTTTCTAGGGTATTTCTTGGAGACCAGGTGGAGCCAATTTTGAGAAGCTCCATCATTCCACAAATATTTTATTCCTAGTCATTCTACATGTGGACTGCGTCCGTTATGTTTTTTTAACAATATATTTCCTCTTATGGAACTGGTACTAATGTTTATGCTCAATGGTTTGCACATTTGGAAATTAATTACAGGTTGTCTCCAATTGTGAAACCCCGCGTAATGCTGCTTTTGCGTGTGGCTATGTCATTGTTCTTGTTACTTCAAAGGTACAGCACGATGATAGAGCGCCACCGCCGCCGGGGGGTGGGGGTGTGGGGGGTTAATGAAAGATACTTCCATTTCCTTTCGTAGTATGCTCAGTTTCATGTCCCAGAATGAATCGTCTTTTTCTTTTCTCTAGTATGATATTTTTGTACATTTGAATCAGGTTCCGCAGGCGATGGATCTTATCCTTGCCGAGTTACACAGAGCTTGCATCTATACAGTTCCAAAACACTACTCGCAGGTGATTCAAATCTCAAGTCTCATTCCTTTCTTTTAAGAAGGGGAGAAAAAGGGGGTGGGGTGGTTCCTGAATGATCCTTACCCCATCTGGATCAGAATAACACACTGCCGGCACAAGTTTGCCTTCTCTCCAGTTTCTATGATTTTCTGTATAATCAAAATTAAATTTTCACCCCTTCCTTTGTAATTTAAAGAGGAGATCCGGCAGTTTCCAATCTTTTTAAAATAATCGGGCTCATAGCCTCCACTCGGGAAATGGAGAGAGATCAAATCGTGCGGGAGATGGGATTTGGAGTCTATTGGGCCCTGGAAACTGGACTGTCTGATTCCGGTTAAATGAACCGGGTCCAACCGAATTGGATCCAATCAAACAGGGTCACATAAAACCGGATCGGACGAATTGGGTCAAACCAAACCGGCCAGACTGAACCGGTCCGACCAAATCGGGCCGAACGAACTGGCTCGACCAAACTGGGCTGACTGAACTGGGTCGAGTTGCACCGGGTCGACCCAAACCCCAACCCCCAAAACTCCAAAACCCCGAAACCACTAAATCCCTAACCCCTAAACCCCACCCCCACCCTTCACCCTACAACCCTACAACCATTAGGATGTCATATCTGTTTTTCTTTATCTAGGTGGGAATTTAATTTTTCTGGAAATGCATCTCGACATTTCTTTTACTACAGTCAGCATTCCAATCACAAGAGGCCTATTATAAAGCAATTGGATTCAAAGAAGACGAAGGAAAGATTGAAAATGTTGACAATTATTTGGCACGATTAGAATCCTATATGAAACTGTATGGGGCACTGATTCAGGTTTGGCTCTACGATCTTGCTGCTTGGATTTTTAATGTTTTCTTGGCATCTTTAAGTTACTCGGTATTTTTTTGCAGACGGAAATTTCTAGGGTCGAAAATGCGCATGGCCTGAGAGAAGGTTGGGCATGGATGGCGAGGTTTTTAAATGCTCTCCCTGCCAACAGATACACTGCTGTTGCGCTTAAAGCATTCCTATATGTAAGTTGTTACACAAGTTAAATATTCTTTGTGGAGAAAAAGTAGGACAAATATCTTTATGCTAAATGGCTCGATGCCTTAACAGACGGCAGGGTATTCTCTCTTCAAAAAGTACAAATCCCAATTCAGGAAGATGCTGAATATCATCTCGGACAACTTCCTGAAGGCACTAAAAGAACGACAAGATTCAAATCTGAACTCGGTCATTGCAGAAATCGAGGCGTTCATAAAGGACAACGAATTCCATCGTGAACCTGAGGGAAGGACCCTGTTGGGGTCCTTGGAATCAGACGCCTATGTTCCTGAAGTTGATTACCAACATTCAAATCAGTATTCGTACGGCGGATACCGCTACTGATTGTATTTGTATGTACTATAGGTTTACCGTCTTCCGTGATTCCTGGAGGATCTGTTGAAGAATGTTTTGCCGTTATTGTAAGTCAAGCTAATTGTATTCTTGGTAGTTACGAAAAGTGTAAGGATACGAGAATTTTGATGAGGGAAATTTGCATAATCTGCCCTAACATTCTGCGAATTTTGAACGGTATTCCGATCGGATTTGAATTTGGGTGTTTCCGAATTGATTCTGTACTGATGGCAACCCCATCTTGTTCTGAGCCAAGAACAAATAAACCAAGACAGCCTGCTCCACATCCCGGAAATGCCGGGATGACGCTGACCATCATTTCAGAACATTTCATGCCTGCACTAAAAGAACAACTAGGTTCGAAGATGAACCCGATCGCGTGAATGAACGGGGGTTGGATGTGTGGCCAAGGATCCCGGTTATACTATACACCGATGCATACCAGAAAACCCTCTCCGAACATCAATGGTATCTCACCACTGTCATCTAATCATTAATCAGGAAAAAAATTGCAGTGATTCAACATCAAGTATCAAAAACTCACTCTCTTTCGAATCTCAAAACTACTGTCACACTAGAAAACCTGAAATTCCTTGTATACAGTTATAAACAAGGTCATCAAGCACGACAAATCAGGCGGTTCATATATGAGACACAGGCTTCCAAGGTGCAAGAACACGCATCGACTAAGATCGTCCGCTCCTGCACGTCACATAAGTTTCCAGCATTGTAAACCATTTGATCCAGCTTTCATGGTAAATTTTTTCAAAGATGCGCATAAAACACACATGACTAGTAGAGTCTTATTCTAGTTTGGATTCCGCTCCGGCAAATCGGGCACGACTGAAGGTCTTCTCCGCAGTCGCAACAAGTCTGCCACACAAAAACGAAGGCACAACTTAGGACGAAGGAGAAAAAAGCTCTTTACTTGTAACTTGCTTGCATAAATCAGAGGTTATGAAAAGATTGCTATTTCGCAAAGAAAATGGTATACCTGGTGCCCACATCCAAAGGCCATGTCCTTTGGATTAGTAAGACAAATAGGGCAAACCTGTATAAACAAAAAATGAGATCAAGTTGAATGCATATAGAGGAGAAAATAAACAAATTGCAGTATTTAAAGAGTAGGTGCTTTTTCGGAAAGCGCTCAGAAAGCACTTGAATTTTCAATGAAAGTTTTGCTGTGCCTTTAACAAAAAAAACTCCCAATAGAATGGCTTACGAGCAGTAGTGTTTCCTACATAAACATTACCAAACTCGAACTTGATTTCACTTAAACGTATTTGAATACCTGACTATCATATCCCGTATAGGATGGTGCGCTGGCTTCTGCATTATATCCAGCATATCCTGGATGAGAAGGTGTGCTGGCTCCTGAGTTATATCCAGCATATCCTAGATGAGAAGGTGTGCTGGCTCCTGAGTTATATCCAGCATAAGGAGCTGATCTCTGCTGAAAACTATTGCTCGAGCTGAAACGTCTTGAGTTGCTGCCTGCTGAGACTGCACCATTATGGGGTGGAGGAAGGGGAACCCTGTTTGGACAACTCCCGTTGCGTCCTCTGGTTTTTCAAGGCAAATCATTTTCATGTTATTAACATGCTTGCGTAAAACTGGTAAAAGTTCATACATTAAGCTGCAAGTTTTTACCCCAATATTCCAAGCTCTAGGGTTGCTTTGTACTGAGAAGGTATTTCCATCAAGGCTGCAAGAGCAAACTCTCTCTGCTTTCTGGATATATCTACATTCCTTGACATGATTTCGGTAAAATTCACAAACTGCATGGACAAAGAACAACGGTTCCTTCAGAATCAAGCAAGCAAACTTCTAGGAGCCAACCATGTTTTCGAGAACTAATTGATGTTAGAATGTGTCTGATCACCTGAAAATTATCAAATGCTCGAGCAGGAATATTGTCGTCGAATTCCCTCATCATGTCCCAAGGGCCATCTCCGACTCCCACTAAGACTATAGACAATGGGTACTCGCTGCAAACAAACAGCTCAGAAACCGAAAAAACCAAACTACAAAATATTCGCTGTAAGCATGTAAAATAATGTGTTTCTGTGAAAGTTTACCTTGCTTTTACAATTGCATCAACTGTCTTTTGTTCTTGTGAGCTGAGATGACCATGATGCGTATCAACACTTCTTGTCACCTAGGATTGAAAAAACAATTCAATACTTGAACAAAGAAAGATGCTGCAGATTGTTGCTTCTGATCGTCTTGCTCAATTTTTTGGACGATTCATGTTGAAATAAAGTAGGTTAAAATCGAATTACCTGGCCATCGGCAATGATCAGCAAGACATGGTACTGGCCTCCGCTTTCCTCGACAATAGTCATGGCCATCTCAATAATGGGTGCAAAAGATGTGGGTCCTGCAACAAGGGACCAAATATTGATTATGTAGCAATAGTAACATTTTGGCAACCTAAGTGTAATGACTAGAGGCTGCACCTGCAAGTCGAAGATGGGGAACGATCTCTCTATATCGCGTCAATACTTCCTCGAATCCATTACAGTTTTGGTCGTCCTCATAGAAACTGAAGACGTCCTGGTCATGCGTAGATGCTACAAGAATACACATGAAAGTTGTCAATCACATGATCCAAATAGTAGTAGAAATAATGCAGAAGACAGTTCTTTGTTTACCATCTCCAAATCCAAAGCACGGAATCAGGTTATCTTCATCAAAGACAGATAGTGTTTTCCCGATAATTGAGATCGCTTGTTCGTAAGGATTTTGAACATTTCCAATGTGATGCAAGCTTTTCCGGTGAAATGACCTCGAACCTGTACAACCCGAAGGAAAGGTGGAAACAAAGCTTAAGCATATTGCATTATTCCTTCAAATGATATTCTGTGACCAAAGAAATTCTTAGAAGTAAGATAAGACTAAACCTGTCCACTCATTGCTCTTTGTGAAATCAATACCAACTATCAGATTAGACGACTCTAGGCCAGCTTGTGAAAGAGCAGCAGTAACCTGTGGTCAATTAATATTCGGGAAATTATCCGCAAATAGAACTGGTTACAAAGTTTTAATAAAAAACATAACTGAAGGGATACTAGACCGTAGTTTATATACAACATGTGCTTAAAGCAGGGCAGAACAAAAACATGCTACATGTATATATATAAAGTTCTGACCTCATCCAAAGAACGATAATTATCAGCAATCCTTGAGTAACTTTTATGCAAAGTCCTTCGATGCTGGGGAGCTGTAACTGGCTGAGACACACGGTTAAAAGACGGCGAAGGAGCGTAGCGATGCTGCGGTGTATGATACGTGTTGTGTGGAGGGTGTGATGGCTCAGAGTAGCCATGCTGATTCCATGAAGAAGTTGCAGTTGATCCTCTGTGCGAAAACTGTCTCACACTCGAATCTTTCGAGCTTTTTGCTCCCATCAGAAAGTAGAATCTGCAGAAGAACCCTTCTGAATAATGCGGCAAACGCTGTATTCTTCTTTCTTCCTCCAAAGCTGAAGCAGTTCAAATGTCAACCTGCATATATATAGCTATATGAATAAAACACCTTGACGACCTTCACATCAATATTAGCTTCATTAAAATAATAATAATAATAATAATAATATTAATAAAGATTGCTATTTCACCAAAGAGAGATTATATTCATACACCCCAAATTACTTTTCTCATACTTTTTAAATTTTTTAATATTTTTTACACACCATGAACACTTGATAGAAAAATATTAAAAAATAAAAAAAAATGTGAAAAGTAATTTAAGGTGTGTAAATATAATTTCTCCCCACTAAAAATCGTATGTAAAGCTGCTGTTCCTCTCTTCTATTTTTGATTTTTGCTTTTTGTTTTTGTTTTTTTTTTTATGAAAACTGAGTAATGCTTAAAACTCCGCAATATTATAAACTATAAGGACGAGAATGTAGCACGAAATCCCAGTGGAAAATAGTCATAAAAAACAAATAAAGACCAAGAACATTTAGGCAACGGGAGGCGACTTATTCAAACAATCAATTGATTAGAAGAAGCATCATCGTTTACTTTTAATTTTCCACCAAAACTTAGGTGTGTATTTAATTGAGATTTTGAAAGACTTCAATGGATTTTTATGGAGTTTAATTGATTTGTAAAGATTCTATATAAAATTTTGATTCAATTCTCTCGAAATCTCATGGGAAGATATGAGATTTATGGATACTTTAAATACACTACGAAATCTCTCCAATTCCCTCTAATTCCTCAACTTTCTCAAATTCTTTAAAATCAATTTCTAATTGAATACACCTTGAATGTTATAAACTTTTCAAAAATCCTAATTGAATACACTGGGATTTCTAAGGATTTTAATAAACTATGTTAAAATTCTAATTGAATACACCTTGAATTTCAAATAATCATTTAAAATCTTAATTGAATATCCCTAAATTCATTAAAAGAATTTAAATCCCTTAAAATCTCAATTGGATACATTCTCCTTAGAGTCAAGTTAGCTGCAGCAAGCACACAATTAACACAATTAAATACACCTCCCTTAAAGTCAAGTCAGATGCAGCAAGCACATCAAGAAACTCCGAGGCAATTGATGGAAGATTTAAATGAAAACCAAGGTTCTGACTCTCTCTCTCTCTATATATATATCTCTATGTATCTATATTATTACACATATATATATGTATGTGTGTGTATAATTAGAGTCCGTTTCAATGAACGAAAAAGAGTCCGACTCTTAATAAATAAATGCAAATGGCGCTTCGCAGAAAACAATCATGCATAACTTTGTTCCTTTGGTTAGACAAAGTGATATTCTAACTTATTCAAATTTGCTACTTTGTGTATGGTGGTTGGATATTGTAATTAATCTAATATAGAGATTGTTTGGAAGTACTTTTAAAATAGCTGAAAATGTTTATGGTAAAAATATTTTTGAAACCAATAGTTAATAAAAATGTAAATGCTCTTGAAACTCAAATTTTCTCTAAAAAAACGTTTCTAATCATTTTAAAAACATATTCAGACGAGTCGACACCATTGTATTAGAAAAATTATTGGAACTAACAATGCACTTTTTGCTTTTGGGACTTGAACCTAAATAAGAATCCATTATCCATAGTATTTTTTTTTAATTTTTTAATTTTTAATTTTTTGAAAAAGTAGAGTTTTATTTAAATCTATGGATAAAATGGTGATCCACAAAATTAATGATAAACTTATAATTACTTTTTTAATTGTGGAATGGGCAGGAATTCAAGGGTCGTTAACTTAATTTTTAAAAGTAATTAATAGCTATTTGAAACAGTAGCAGGCTCACCTAAACCTAATTTGGATGATGAATTCTAAGCCGTGTGTAAGTTACAACGAATCAGAACGTGTTTCTTGAGGCTGATGTTATGATTGATAATTTGATTCTCCTACATTAACCCAATAAATAAAGTAAAAGACTGATTGATTCTAGCACGCAATGTGGCGGCCTTATTCTCTTGTGTGAAAGGGCAGAACTATGTCAGATTCACATTAACTTTTTTTGTTTTTTCTTAGGAAAGTCACGAAACAAACATGTAATTTTATGTTGGCTAAATAACCAAAATGATTATTGAGATTTACATAACACATCACTTTGGTTCTTGAAATTGAAAATCAATATAAATGGTCCCTGAGATTGTCCACCATGCATCATTTTGGTTATTCTGTTAAAAACTTCGTTAAACTGTCCCGAACCTTTTGGCCTGAAGTTTGGACAATTTTCAAAGTTTCGTAATTCAATCGTTTCTTAATCAAATTCGACTCATAATATATCAAAATGAAGATAAGAAAGTGTAGAACAAGATTATACCTATTTGAAAGCCCAATGGCTGCCGGAGATGGCCGAAAAATAACCTCAAATGTGACTGGTCCGCTGGAAAACTCGCCGGAAACTAAGTAAACTTTAAACGTTCATAACTTCTTCAATACTCAATGAAATCGTGATTCAAAAATGAAAATTATACTTCTCGACGAGACCAAGGGAATTGTATCTTTATTGATCGCTAACTCACTATAGTTTGGCCGGAAAACGGCTCGAAAGTGGCTAACCATTTTCTAGTTAGTCACTTTTGAGCCGTTTTCCGGCCAAACCACTGCGAGTTAGTCATCTAGAAAGATACCATGCTCTTTATCTCGTCGAGAAGTATGATTTTTATTTTTGAATCACTCAATTTCATTGAGTATTAAAGAAGTTATGAACGTTTAAAGTTTATCCAGTTTCCGGCGAGTTTTTCAGTTTTCCCGCATACCAATCACCTTTGAGGCTATTTTCTGGCCATCTCCGGCAACCATTGGGCCTCCAAATGGATATAATCTTGTTCTACACTTTCCCACCTTCGTTTTGATACATTATGGGTCGAATTTGGTTAAGAAATGATTGAGTTACGAAGCTTTAAAAATTGCCCAAATTTCCGGCCAAAGTCACCGGTACACTCAACGGAGTTTTTAACGGAATGATCAAAATGATAGATGGTGGACAATCTCAGGGACCATTCTATTGATTTTCAATCTCAAGGACCAAAGTGATGTGTTATGCAAATCTCATGGACCATTTTAACTATTTAGCCTTTTACGTTTCTCACATTTTTACGTGGTATTATTATTACTAAACATACAGATATCATATTACGCATATTAAATATATTATATAACGGTGCGACAATCATTTAATGATCCTGTAAACGTACAAATATTTATTATTATTGTTGTAGATAAAAGTTAACAGTGTGGGAACACGAAGTTAGGTTCTAAACAAGTGAAAGGGTTTGTTGTAGGGGTCCGAGGGTTGTTGAAGCATGGGGTCAAACTCCTTTATAACTCCGTTAACTTGGGGATTCCGATCATAGGGTTTTGAAAATTGATAGATTTCTCGCACGTCACAACCACTCCCTTTCAAAATTTAATAAAATCAAATAAAAAGCCGAAAAAATTGTTCCTGCTTAAAAAACGTGGGTACGAATTCAACTCCTTTTTATAAGACTTGGTCATGTCGATCTACAGAATATATTGGGCCTAATTAAAAGAGACAAAGAAATATGGACCTTGTAGCTGAGCCCATTTATACTGAAACCCTTACTCACGCTGGCCCAGTGTGTAGGCCCTGTTTAAGCCTAATGTTTATATTCGGTTTGATATTGGGTCTCAAGCGCAACCCGTTGCTGTGGGCACTTCTTTAGTGGGTTTACGGTTTACCAACCAACCAACTCAATCGAAATTGGTTTGATGGGTGTGGCTCCAGACTTTAAAAGTTTATTGGGTTTTTATCACAATTGATTTTTGAAATTGACCATCACTATCAAGATGGTTTATGAAATTAAAAATGAATCAAAGTAGTCCCTGAAAATAGGTGTCGCAAATCAATGTGATCCTTTTGTCACAATTATGTTAAAAATTTCGTTAAGTGTTGATGTTGCTGATGTAGCACATAAATAGGCTCTACAAGATTTACGGATTTTTATCACGAATGATCCTTGAAATTGACCCACACTATCAGGGTGGTCTCTAAAATTGGCCCACACCATCAATATGGTCCCTGAAATTAAAAATCAATCAATGTAGTCTTTAAAAATAGGTGTCGCATATCAATATGATCCTTCCGCCACTATTATGTAAAAAGATTTGTTATATGCTGATGTGGGTTTAATAATTAATTAAAAAAAGTGTCTAAATACCTTTTTGCACAATGGATTTTTTTTTTCTTATAGTAGGGCCTAATCCGAAGAAAGATTCATTCCATAAATTCTCAAAGGCACAAGGCTTAACCAAGGCCTAATAGGGGGTGTGGAAATATTTTTCAACCAACAATAGACGCACCTCGGTTATAACCTCATTATCTCAAGGCAGACCTCACCATTCTTTGCATCACCAGACTACCAGGGAAGCGCCGAACAAGCTCTCCAAGATTAAGGTTGTAAGAATATTGATCGCCTAAATGTTAACAGTGATGTCACATAAGTCGTTGCCAATGGGCCAAGCCATCACCAAAGGTGATCTCGATCTAAGTTCAATTAGGTGAATGGTGTCGAAGTGTGTAAAGATGAGTGTATTGGTAATTTATTTTTTAGATAATAGAAAGCGAATGAGGTAGAGAAATGTGGACTGGGATCAGAGGTAATTGCAAGACTGGGTTTTTGGGTTGACAATTTTTTTATTAAATATTAAAGTACTAAGCCTATTTGTAATTTTTTTTAATTTAATTAAACTTGTAAGGCCCAATTATGTGTCACATCAGCACATCACAAAAATTTTGACAGAATTGTGACGGAATGACTACATTGATTTGAGACACTTACTTGCGGGACTACGTTGATCAATTTTCAATTTCATGGACCATTTTGATGTCGCAGGTCAATTTCATATACAATTTTGATATCGTGGGTCAATTTCAAGGACCATTTGTGAGGAAAAAAAAAAAAGAAGACTTATGGGACCCATTTATGTGCCACATCAGCACTTAACAGAATTTTTAACAAAATTGTAATGGAAGTACCACATTGATTTGCAACACCTATTTTTCAAGGACTACATTGATTGATTTTCAATTTCAGGGACCATCTT